AGTTTTCTTCTTAATCGGAACAAATCAGCACAGGCATTTGTACTGGCAAGCAGCTATTTGGCCAGCAAACACCTGTTTTGTTGTTGTTTTTCAGTCTATCCCAACATGTAGAAAACCATAAAGGTGGTTTGCTCTTAACTGGGAGGGACGGCAGTGTGGACCCGCCTTGGCAATACATGAATGCCCTAGCTCTCAGTCATAATTTAGCCCATGTGGACCTTGACCATCTCCCCAGCCCACAGGACATTGGGCTGATGTGACCTGGAGGGGAGGAAGTTGTAGGTTGCTTTAACAAAAACCATGTGTGGCGGGGTGAGAAGGAAACCCTGTGAAAACAGAGACTCCTGCTTTCTCCTGAAGCTCTCTCTGGGGTCCAACAAAGCAGCCGGGCATGCCCACTCGGTGGTGGTGAAGGACCAGTCCTGCACCCTGACTCATCCGTGTGCAGCACTCTTTGGAGGAAACACAGCCTGCATTTGCATGTGTGCTTCCCCTGTGTCCAGATACACCAGCGGGTGGCCTGCTTTCCACAGGAGGCACAGCCAGTGATGATGCCCATGTGGTCCTGTTCCTGCGTGGGCTGAGCCACTCAGTTGTTGTGGCTCGGGGACCCAAGGGTCCTCTTGGGGTCTTGGCTGACCAAGGCACCCTCGGAGCCCGAGCCAAGCCATGGTGGAGGCCACAGTGCCCGTCGAGGGGAGCAGAGTTTGCCCTCTGTGGCCAGTACCTCTTCTCGCTTGGAGATACAGCACTTGGCGTCCCCTGGGCCTGGGTGGAGACTGACCCTGTCCAGGGACATCAGGTGTAGTCTGACTTGGGTGTTGTTTGTCTGCTGAGTCCTGCAGCTGGAACGACTGGGCATTGTCTACTGTCAAGTGCATTGGGTACTGAGCTCTAATTAGGTTCTTGGAACCTATGGAGACGCACTAGGAGCTGGTGCTGCCCTGAGGCAGACATGAAGTGCATTGGGTACTGAGCTCTAATAAGGTTCTTGGAACCTATGGCAGACAGCACTAAGGGAGCTGGTGCTGCCCTGAGGCAGACATGAAGTGCATTGGGTACTGAGCTCTAATAAGGTTCTTGGAACCTATGGCAGACAGGCAGCCTCTGCCCTAAGGGAGCTGGTGCTGCCCTGAGGCAGACATGGAGGGGAGGGGAGCCGCCGTGGCCCAGCCACAGGGACTCAGTTTACCAAGCTCTTCCAGACACCCCTGCACTGCAGCCGATGCCCGATCAAGGTCAGTAGTGTGCCGTCCCGCCCTGCAGAAGGGAACCACAGCTCATGGGAGACCGATCAGCTGTGGCCACCTGGCCATGGGCTGACTGCCTTGGCTGACTGCCTTTGGACACCTTCCTTCATGGAGAGGGTCTGGCTTTTCCCAGGGATGAAGGCAGGACATTTAGTGCAGAGGGAGAACAGGATCATTTAGGAGCACAGCTGGGAGATGCCACCGCAAGACTGCAGTGAAGTCCTATAGGATATGGCCCTGGTCCTTGATGCTCCCCCACTGGCACTATTTCCACTTCATGGGGGGCCACACCCCCCTATGGAGGTTAGAAGGGCCCCAACATTCCTTCTCTCTTATTAGCTAAGCTACATTAGGGCCTCAGCCTAGGCTGGGCCAACTTGGTGTCCCACTCGGGACTTAGAACCTTGAACAAATTGTGCGAACATTCAGGGACATCTTCCAGCTGTGGTCTTAAATGATCCTGTTCCCCTCTCCTCGCTTACTGTTCTGTCTTCGTCCCTGGACTGTGTGACTATGAGATGATGGGAAAGATGATTCTTGATCTGGACCTACTCCCCTCCACTAGCACTGGTGCTTTCCTTCCCAGCCTACCGCCTGCTCCTGCATGCACTGCTGTTTCTAGCCAAGGCATTGCCTTTACAGCCGAAGGACAGGGTAGTGGGAAGACACCATGGGATTCACCAGGGTTCCATGTACCCTGTCCCTCCACAGGACCCGCCCCTGCAGGATGGTGATCTGGCTTCTCAGGACCACTCAGGATTACGTAGGAGCTCAGCTAGGAGATACCACCTCAAGACTGCAGCGAGGTCCTATAGCATATGGTCCTGGTCCCTCATGAATGGTGCCGTTCCCCCAAACCAGAATCCACAGGCTGGGGGCCTAGGGGTGAGAGTGAGGGCAGCACTTATGGTTAGAACATTCACAAAAGGTTTGCCTCTGGGCCCTGTTAGCCCTTACTCTTCTGGTTTGGACATTTGTTTTATTATTATTTATTTAGTGAGTTATGTATATATATGTGCACACACACACACACATATATATATATTTTTTAGGTGAAGTCTTGCTCTGTTACCCAGGCTGGAGTGCTGTGGCACCATCTCGGCTCACCACACCCTCCACCTCCTGGGTTCAAGTGATTCTCCTGCCTCAGCTTCCTGAGTAGCTAGGATTACAGGCCCCCACCACCATGCACAGCTAATTTTTGTGTACTTTATTTATTTATTTTTATTATTTATTTATTTATTTTTGAGATGGAGTTTTGCTCTTGTCGCCCAGGCCGGGGTTCAATGGCATGATCTCGGCTCACTGCAACCTCTGCCTCCCAGGTTCAAGTGATTCTCCTGCCTCAGCCTGCTGAGTAGCTGGGATTACAGGCACTCGCCACCATGCCTGGCTAATTTTTTTGTATTTTTAGTAGAGATGGGGTTGCACTATGTTGGCCAGGCTGGTTTCAAACTCCTGACCGCAAGAGATCCGCCTGCCTCGGCCTCCCAAAATGCTAGGATTACAGGCGTGAGCCACTGCCCCTGGCCTATTTGCCTATATTTTGGACAGGGTCTCACTCTGTCACTCAGGCTGGAGTGCAGTGCTGTGATCATGGCTCACTGCAGCCTGGACCTCCTGGGCTCAAGAGATCCTCCCACCTCAGCCCCCTGAGTAGCTGGGACCACCGGTGTGTGCCACCATGCCTGGCTAATATTTCCTTTTTGTTGTTGTAGAAACAAGCCCAGGCTGGTCTCAAACTCCTGGCTTCAAGCATCTCCTGCCTCGGCCTCCCAAAGTGTTGGCATGACAGGTGTGAGCCCACTGTGCCTGGCCTGGTTTGGAGATTTTAGTAACTAACAGAGGAGTGCTTTGGTCAGAGAATAAGTCATGGAATGATGGAGCTGAAAACTGCGGATGCCATGTGGGTTAAGGGGCCCTTGGGAACAGCTAGGGTGGTCCTTACAAGAGGAAGCAGAGACGTGACTACTGAACATGGGCAGGCTTAGGTGGCCCCCAGGTCTTCCCCCATTCTCCCAAATCGAGGGATGAAATCGGTGGACAATCACAGCAACAAGGTTCAGGACTCAGACCCTGCAGGAATGGAGAACTGGGCTGCCTGGATGAGAAAACACGGGTGTGAAGTATGTGAGCCATGAACACACCCCACGGTTTCATGACCAGCTGCAGATGTGACACATCTGGAGCTTCTGGCAAAGTTTCTGCTTTCCTTGTGCTGTGTCTAAACTTCACCAGAACGGAACTCACCTTTCTCCCACCCTTTTCTTTCCACGGTGACTGTGTATTGGACGTGTCGTTGGTGCTTCCCTTCACATTAAATCCATAGGTTGTAGAACAGCGACGTGCTGAGGACGGAAGCGGCGGGAACGCCCAACACCAGAGACCCTGGGCTGTCACCAGATGTGGAACCCAGGAGACCTTTGGTGTCCTCCTTTGGAGGCCAGGCTGTGCGCTTTCGGCGGTGGGGGCGCTGCGTGTCCGGCGGAGGCGGCCAGGCCGGTGCGGTTTCGGCGGTGGGGGCGCTGCGTGTCCGGCGGAGGAGGCCAGGCCCGTGCGTTTTCGGCGGTGGGGGCGCTGCGTGTCCGGCGGAGGAGGCCAGGCCGGTGCGTTTTCGGCGGTGGGGGCGCTGCGTGTCAGTGGGAGGAGGGCAGGCCAGTGCGTTTTCAGCGGTGGGGGCGCTGCGTGTCAGGTGGAAGTGTTCTCATTTTCGGAAGTGAGAGTGTCACTGGAAAGACAGGGTGGACTGTAGCTGGCCTGTGTCACTCTGGCTGTTCATCACAGGACTGCTCTTATTTGGGGGAATCCCTCTTGGCTGGTGTTGGTGGGAGATGGGGCCACACGCCCTCTATGGAAGTTAGAAGGGCCTTGACATTCCTTCTCTTTTGTCAGCTTCATTAGGGCCTTGGCCTAGGCTGGGCCAACCAACTTGGCTGGCATTCCACCCAGGACTTAGAATTTTGAGCAGATTGTGCACACATTTAGGGACCATTAGAGCTAATTCGTCATTGACGTGGTCTGAACGTCCAGTAAGAGTAGGTGTGGCAGGCAGAATATCTAAAATGTTCCCGGATCCCCACTAAATGTCCTGCCTTAATCCCTGGACCATGTGGCTGTGAGATGACGGGAAAGCTGATAAGATTTCTCTTTCAAGAATTCTGGCCTGGCGCGGTGGCTCAAGCCTGTAATCCCCGCACTTTGGGAGGCCGAGACGGGCAGATCACGAGGTCAGGAGATCGAGACCATCCTGGCTAACATGGTGAAACGCCGTCTCTACTAAAAAGTACAAAAACTAGCCGGGCGAGGTGGCGGGCGCCTGTAGTCCCAGCTACTGGGGAGGCTGAGGCAGGAGAATGGCGTAAACCCGGGAGGCGGAGCTTGCAGTGAGCTGAGATCAGTCCACCGCACTCCAGCCTGGGCGACAGAGCGAGACTCCATCTCAAAAAAAAAAAAAAAATTCTGACATAAGCTACAACGCGGATGGACCTTATGGACATAAGAGTAAGTGAAATAAGCCAGACACAAAAGGACAAATCCTGTGTGACCCCACACAAATGAGGTCCCTGGAGCAGCTGAACCATCGAGACAAAAAGTGGATAGTGGGTGCCAGGGACCAGGGCAGAGAATGGGAACTGATGTTTACTGGGGACAGAGGTTCATCTTGAGAAGATGGAAAGTTCTGGAGATAGATGGTGGTGATGGTTGCACAACGATGTGAATGTATGTAATGCCACAAACCATACACTTAAAAATGGTTAAGATGGTAAATTTTATGTGATGTATATTTGACTACAATTTGCTGAATGCACCATTGCTGGTTTGAAGGTGGAGGGGCTGCGGGAGCAGGGACAAGGACGTGGGAACCTCAGTCCTACAGCCATGAGGAGCCGACTTGTCAACAGCCTGAATGGTCCTGGAGGCACACGCTTCCCTGGAGCCTCCAGATGAGAGTGCAGCCCACCAAGGCCTGACGTCAGCCCGAGAGACCCCTCGCAGGGCACCCGCTGAGCACACCCGGACTTCTGCCCTGGAGAGCTGAGAGATCATAAATGGTCACTGCTTGCAGTCCTTACGTCTGTGCTGCTGCTTACACAGCATAGAAAACCGTTGCAGCTTGTGTCTGGGTGGAGCCCTCCAGGGCGTGGACCGCCGGTGTCTGCAAGTCAGCCCTGGGCTGCTGCCTCCAGCGTGGCTTCCTTTGTGCTTGCACCCGGCCCGTTCCCATGGAGGGATTTGGTGAGCTACCCCTACCCTTGCGTCTGTTCCCAATGGAGGCTGGCTCTCTGGCTGGGCCTTCACTCACTCCCCTCCTCACAGCTCGGACCCTCCCCTCAGGGATCCCATGAGGGCTGACAGCAGGGGCGTCTTCACCTCTGTGGGCAGGCAGGTGGTGGGAGAGGGGCCCAGGCGCAGCATCATTGTCCTGCAGCCACCGAAGACTACCCGAGTATCTTCTTGGATCAATAGCATCTGCTTCGGAGCGGAGACAATGTGCGGGTCCACCCTGGGAGCGTCTGAAGATGCTGGGCTCCTGGGGCTGGCGGCCACATGCTCTGAGGAGCAAGGGGATCATGAGGCTGTGGTGGAATGTTCTACAGGGGACCTGTGAAGCTACTGTGGAATGTTCTAGAGGGGATCATGGGGCTGTGGTGGAATGTTCTACAGGGGACCTGTGAGGCTACTGTGGAATGTTCTAGAGGGAATCATGGGGCTGTTGCAGAATGTTCTAGAGGGATTATGGAGCTGCTGTGGAATGTTCTAGGGGGACTGTGAGGCTGTTGTAGAATGCAGAGGACCCAGGGATGGGGGCTTGGATGGCCCAGAGCAAGTGGGTGGGTTAATGGGCATGGCAGGCAGAGACAGGCCAGCTCCATGGGGGCAGGAAGAGCTGCCTGGCTTCGGGTTGGACCCTCCCTGCCCCCTAAGCATGAGGAGCTCCGGGGTATTCAAGCACAGAGATCCTGGCCTGGGGCTGTAATCTGGGGGCCCAGAAGCATCCATCTCCAGGTCTTGGCAAGGCCTGGTACAAGCAAAGGGGGGTTCCCATGTGGGCTATGGGGTGCAGTGCATCAGGTCTGGAAACTCTTCAGGTCTCCCACCCCACCCTGGCACTCAGTCACCCCCAAAGCGTTTCCTCTACGGCATCAGCCTGCGGCTTGGTCCGGGGCTCCCTCCTGGTGGCTGTCTCGAGCGGAGCTGGAGGACCTTCCAGAGAGAGTGGAGGCAGCAGGGGGCCCTACCGTGGGGCCAGGGTGTATTGGCCCTTGCGGTCCAAGCTGCAGCCAGAGCGGATGGCAAACCACAGGAATGAGCTGAGGAGCAAGGCGGACACCTGGGAGGGAGACACCCGAGGCTGCCCCACTGCTCCAGGCTGGGGGTGCCCCTCCCCAGAAAGCATCAGGACTCTGTAGTGGGAGGGGGCGGCCCAGCTGCAGGAGGCAAACACTGTCACAGCGGACCAGCTCCTCGAGGTTGGCAGCCAGTGAGGCCCAGGACCAGAGAGCCTGTCCCGGGTCACCATTCCATCTGAGTCGGGCGCTGGGCAGGCTGAGGGGCAGGAGGTAGGAAGGGGCGGTGAGGGAGGCGAGGGGGTACCGTGAGGGCCAGGCTGATGCTGGTCAGGCTGGAGGCGACCTGCTGGTGTATCCTCAGGAAGCTCCGGATGCCCTGAAGGCAGTCCTACGAGAGGGCAGCAGGCATGGCACCCGCCCTGACCGGCCCTCCCTGCCTGGACAAGCGGCTTCTGTGGGGCCATGGAGCTGCAGCGCCCACCTAGGCCAATGCCAGGGCAGCAGGGAGGTGGGTGTAGCACATTCCTGGGAAGCCCCCAGGGCTCTAGGGAAAGGCAGCACAAGCAGGTGAAGCCCAATGGGACAGGGCTGGCCCCTGTGGGCACCCGGGCACTGCCCTGGGCCCAGCAGGTGCTGTCTCCCAGCTGTCCTGAGTGTCCATCTTGGGCCACACATTGGCTCCCCTAGGCCGGGCCACTTCTAATTCACTCTGGGTTCCCAGCATCTAGCCCAGGGCCGGGTACAGCGCCTTGGTGACCAGAGGACGATGACTAACAGGGAGGGCGGGAAGCCAGCTGGTGGAGGGATGCGAGGGGAGTCCCCGCACTGTCCCAGGGTCCTGGTTCCATCCCGGGCTTCCAGTGCCACCCCAGGGCATGGCACGAGAGGCATCTTTCCAGAAAAGGGAGGTGACAGGCCTGTCTCTGAACCCTGGAGATGGTGGCAACTGGGGCAGGCTGTGGAGGCCTCTGTAGGGTGTCAGGGCTCACCCTCCTGCCCCCCACAGGCAGGTCTGCCTCCCTCCTGCCCATGCCTGCCCATCTGGGTGGCTCCGTGCCCGCCACCTGTGCTGGCTTTTCCGGCTCCCCAGGAGGCTTTGCAGTCAGGCCCATGGCCCTGCCATCCCCAGGGTGCTCAAGGCAGGCCCTCGCTCCTGTTTTTCAGTCGGGGGACCTCGGACCTCTCCTTGGGTGGCACAGGGATCCTGACTGTCAGCCCTATCCCTGATGCTGCTGGTGCCTCCCCAGCAGTGTCCCCAGCACCGGCCCTTCTGCCCTCAGAGCCTGGGCTGTGGCTCCACTCCTTGCCAGGCCTCCAGCCATTTGCTCTCGTCCCCTCTGTTCTTGGAGGGTGGCCAGGTGCCTCCCACTGTGAGATAGGGTGGGTTTGTTTCCAGGACAGTAGGGGAGAGGAGCAGGGAGGGGGCAGGGTGGGCTGGGGGAGGGCTGCTGGGCACTGGGAGAAAGAGCGGAGGGCCCAGGTTGTCCCAGGGCTCTGGGAGGAAAGCCTTCTTGGCCTCGGGCCCCGCTCTGTTGTTGCTGAAGCACTGGCCACACCCTAGCCTACGCTGACCCTCTGGCCTCGCTTCTCCTCCTCTGAGTGCCCTTCCACTCCTTCTGATGCCCCCCAGGACGCCTGCACCCTTCCCCCTAGATAGAGCCCACCATGCTGGTCCTGCAGCCCTTGGCACGGAGCCCTCATGGGTGCACTCCAAGAGGCTTCTGTGGGCTCAGCTGGCCTTGGGAAGCCCCGAAACTGGAACTGACTTGAAGGAGTGAACGGCGCATCAGGCCTGCGTCCAGCTGGGCAAAGGGGCCTGTGTCTATGTCTTGAGCCTAGCCCGGCCGCCTGACAGGCTTGGTGTGCCGTGAACCCTAACTAGCCTCCGATCACACCAGAACCTTCCCTGAGCCCTTCAGCGGGCAGGTCCCAAGGGTCTAGGGAGACCAAGGTGGGGGGTGGTGGGAGGATGGCTCTGGGTCTCGGGGTTGGGCCCCAGGGTGTCCAGCCCCTGAGGGTCTTGCCTGGCCAGCCTCCAGGTCCCCCCCTCACCTCTCTTGCCGCCTCCTGTCCCTGACATAGGTCAGCCTCTGTGCTCCCCAGACGGCTGAAAGGAGACCTCTTCCCACAGCACAGAAACTACAAGAACAGAAGGGAGGGAGTGGTGATGGGCTTCCGAGACCCCAGGAGGCGGGCAGCACATATGGGGAAACTGAGGCACCACAAGGCTCCAGGTGGGGTTCCCTGCAGGCCAGGGCTGGGGCTCCGGGTATTGCAGCTGCCTCTGCTGGGGGCTCCAACCATTGTGCAGCCGGGGCCTGGTGAGGGGAGCTTTCTCAAGTCGCGCTGCCTGCGCGCTGGGGAGGGAACTCCTGCTGGAGCCAGGCAGCTTCCCCGCCCTGCTCACGGGCCGTGTGTGCTTTTTTTTTAAGTAGAGACAAGGTCTCCCTATGTTGCTCAGGCTGGTCTCGAACTCCTGGGCTCAAGCAATTCAGCTTCCTCAACCTCCTCCCAAAGTGCTAGGATTACAGGCGTGAGCCACTATGTTTGGCCCCGTATTTGCTTTAATGCTCTTGAAATCCTCCAGTGTTTCTGAATAAGGGGCCCTGCCTTCCCATTTTGCACTGGGCCTCGAGAATCTGGTAGGCGGCCCTGTCCCGGGCAGACAGAGGATGGGGGCTTTGTGCCGCCAGCCCTGAGGGGCAGCTCTGGCCTATGTCCTGGAACCCCTTAGTGCCTGGCCAGACCTCACACTGGCCACCCTGTGCCTGTTCTCTGAACTGCAGTCCAAACAGAGGCTGACCGCCCTGCCACCCAGCCGTCCCCACGCTCACCGTGTCCTGGATGGCCGCCAGCTCCTGCCGCCCGACGTGGGACGTGCCTTTCATCGCCTGCTCATATACCAGGTCGTAGGTGTCCAGCATGGCATCCTCCACCTACACCGAGAGACCACGGGGAGGTCCTGGCCCTGGTGAGAGATCCAGGGACACAGCCCCCTCCCCACAACATCCCAAAGGCTGGTGGGCCCTTAGTGGAGTGAAGTCCCAGCACCACCCTCCTCGCAGCAGGTGGATCTCCCCAAGGGGTAGCCTGGATCCCTGGGCAGCCAGTCACAGTGCCTCCCAACATCAACAGTGGGGCCTCCACACAATGGCCGTCAGTGTGGCCCTCCTGCCCCCAGAGGGTCCTGCAGGGTAAATCGAGGCCACGCTCTGCATCTGCCTCTCCTGTGGTCTTACAAGGTCAGCTCAGGGAAGTTTCCATCACGCTACTGTTGACCTGGAAATGGGGGATGGAGCTGGGCCTGGTGGAAAAGGCTTGAGAGACCCTGTGCCAGGACCTCAGCTCCCACAAAGCTGGGGGATTCTAGGTCTTTCCCCAGAATCACCCAGCTGCCTTCCAGAACCCCGGGCAGCTGGGCTCTGGGTAAGGCTTTTGACCAGAGAAGCCTTGGGCACCTGGAGTCAGATCTGGGTGGACGAGGCCACTGTGGGGCAGGGGGTGGAGAAGGTGGAAGGTGACGGGGCCTGGCTGGATGTGCCATCTGCACTCCACACCCTAATACCACCTGGACCTCATGTCTCCACCCTCCTAAGCAAGATGCTGTCCCCTGCCAAGTTACCCCTTCAAAGACAAACTGGAATCTCGCCTCCTACGGGAAGGCTTCTGTGACTGCTCCAGGAGTCACTGGTCTCCTGGCTCAGGGCGAGGCCCTCTTTGAGGTCCCTACCCTCTGATGTCTCCTTCCTGCCTCAGAGGCCCTCAGTTCTCCCCCAAATGCCATGCTGACAGTCAGGACACATGGAGGGGTGCTCAGCAGTTGCCCTAAAGGGCTGGGGGAGAATGGAAGCCCCAGGCCTGCTCTGGCCGCTCACACCTGCCCTCCAGAAAGGAAGGGTGGCTTCCCGCGGTCCTCATTGCACTGGGGCCCAGCCCCCGTAGCAGCTCTGACAGCGGCCAACTGGGTGGGCAGTGGGCAGTGGAGGCTCTCGGTCAGCCCTGCCCTAGCCTGGAGGCCCCAACAGGAGTCAGATGGACTTTCCAGGCCAAACTTGGCTCCTGACCCTAATGCATCCCTCCCACTGATGGCTAATAAAAGACAGACCACTCTCCATGAGTCATCCCCAACTCAGCCAGCCTTGTCCTCCCCGCAGTGCCCTGGGGGGCAGGTGCCAAGCTGGCCACACCACTGTTGGCCTGGGCGGGGGCCTTGTTCAGCCTCAGCGTCTGTGAGTGTGAAATGGGGGTGGAGTCTGGCCTGGCCATTGTGTCCTCATGGGTGGAGGTCCTGGTGAGGACCGGAGGCCTGGTGGAGTGGGCCTGGGGTTGGCTCAGACCTACCCTCCTGCTTCCCTCCCAACTCCAGTGACTGTCCTCATTGTCAGGCGCCTGCCATGGCCCAGGGAGGACATGGGTGCCTCTGAGGCTCTGAGCTAGGTGTCCTTATTACTGCAGCAGGGGCGAGAGTGACAACGCCTGCTAGTGGCTGAGGGGCTTGCTCTGCCCGGCTCTTCCCGCTCTTCCCGCTCTTCCCGCTCTGCCCGCTCTGCCTGCTCTACCTGCTCTGCCCGGCTCTGCCTGCTCTGCCTGGCTCTGTCTGCTCTCCCTGCTCTGCCTGCTCTCCCTGCTCTCCCTGCTCCACCTGGCTCTGCCTGCTCTGCCTGGCCCTGCCTGGCCCTGCCAAGCAGCTCTCCCCACGACTGAGGAAGCAGAGCTCAGCAAGGTAGGCCTCCTGCCCCAAAGCCTGGCTCTAGAGGGCCCTGGAGGCCAGGCCGGCCACTCCCCACGGGGCCTGGGCTCCTAGGTGATGCTTCACCAACTGTCTCCATCCCAGGGGATGAAGGACCCTGGGGCCTGTGTTTCTCAGGACACCTGGGGGCAGGTGCGCCCTGAAGGGTACCAATGCACTGAGCTCCATCTTCCGGTGCCCGGGGGGTGCTTCAGGACAAAGACCTGGAGCAGCAGGGCCAGCGCAGAATTCCCGGTTGCTGGACCCACCCGACCTGCTGTGTGTTTCTCCAACTCCTGCCCAGACTGAGGCCTGAAGTCCAGGGGTCCCCGCTGGGGCTTCCCCCCACGACCAGATCGTCCCTGGTGTCTGCCTGGGCTCAGCGGCCCTGACTCCATCCCGTGTCTGCTGAAAGTGCTCAGGAAGGTACAGACAGGTCCTGGCGGCGGGTGGGGACCAGGAGCTGCAGGAGACCTGTGGACCCGCCCCACAGGTCCAGAGCCGGCTCTGGCCTGAGCCCACTCGGTGGCTGGAGGATCCAGGGAGGGAAGTGGCTCCAGGGTGGGGCCAGACTGCGAGGATGAGGCTGCACCCCACACTGCTGTACTTAATTCGAGCATGAATTATTCCCGATGCAGACTCGTCCGGGGACAGGGGGAAGGTTGCAGCAAAGTGACTCTCAGGCCTGGAGGAGAACGTAATTAATAGCCCTCAAGCTCCACATTCATCCCTGAAGCCTGGTCCATGCCTCCTGCCCGCATGAGCGTCCCAGGGAAGTGGCAGCCAGGACTTCCTGGGGCAAGGATTGGGGAAGGGGAGGGGCACCCTACTACTCTCAGTGCTGGGCCAGGGTCTGTGGCCACGGGGCACTGCCAAGGGCATGTGGCGGGCCCCTTCCCTCCTGCAACCTCTGCCTTTCCATCCGCAGGGCTGCCACATGAGTCACGCTGACCCTGTGTTCAGGACACCTCAGGGGCCCTGTGGGGAGGTACAGGGGGAAAGGGTGAACGGGCCGGGCTGGGATCTGGACCCCCGGCTCTCACTTCAACATTTCTGGTGCCAGCAGCTTGGGCCCTTTGGTCTTTGCCGCTGTCTGTGCTGCCAGCAGGACCTTGTTGGACAGGGATCCTGAGGTTGAAGCCCGTTAGGCTGTGGTGGGCCCTGAGGGCAAAGGGCAGGAGGTGGGATGTGCAACCACCCCTCCTGCTCAGGCCCTGGCCCCTGGCACCACAGCTACCCCATCTACACCCAGCACAGCTCCGAGTGAGTTCCATGTCCTAGAGGACCAGCCTGGGCAACGGGGCACGGCAGGGGGCACGCAGGTAAGGGGGAAGAGTCTTTGCACACACCCGGCCATTCCTACCCATGCAGCCCCTGGGTCTCGGTGCTCCCTTCACAGAAAAGGAAACTGAGGCCCAGGAAGGTTAAGTAGCTTGCCCAAGGGCGCCCCAAGGACACTGACTTCATATTCAGAGCTCCTTCGCCCAGGCCACCTCTGTGGCCACCAGGCCTGACATGGATGATGTCGGAAGTCAAGACCCACTGGGAGGGGCCGATGGGGCCCAGAGGCCCAGGAGGAAGTCCCAGTGCCTTGCCTGGGGTCAGGCAAGGCCCTGAGAACTGACCCCTGAAGGCCAGCTGGGCGCACGGGCCAGACAAAGATGGTGTGTGTGGGGGATGCTACTTGGGGCCGGGACAGGCCATAGGCAAGCCTGGCTGGGGCATCTATCTTTTTGCACCCCCTTCCCTTCCTGGAGAGCAGGCCCCAGCTGTGTTCTGTCCTGTAGCCCTTGCATGGCCCCCTCCCCTCCAGAATTGTGCTTCCAGGGTCAGAGCCATAAACACACAGAAGCATGGGGCATGGGCTGCAGCTGCCCCAGACGAGCCCGGGCACCCTGGCAGCTGTCTTGACCTCGGCCACCTCCACTGTGACCCAGACCTCAAACGAGCCTAGACCACCCCACAATGGACAGGAAACGTGAGGCCAAAACACGGACCTGGCCCAGCTCATCACTCTGGTAAGACTACTGTGCCAATCCTCAAAGCCACAGCCCTCTTTAGGGGGCTCAGTCCCTCTGGGATCCTTCTGGGCCTGAGAAAATGATGTTTCTCCCACCTGGTTCAGGTGGTTCATCCCAAATGATGCCAGAGGTGGGCAGACTCTTTGGGGCCAAGAGCCTTTGGGGGTAAGCCTGAAGCCCCCTCCAGCCCTGGCACTGCCAGGGTAACTTTGAGCTCCCCCCATCCATGGAGGGCCTGAGTCCCCCCATCTGCAAACCACGGTGGGGGCCACCACACTCAGGCTGCCAGCATGGCTCAAGAACTGGCACAGCAGGCGCCCTGCAGAGCTTAGCCAGAGGACCTGCCTGCCACCAGCCTCAGCATCTATCATGGCCAAGCTTGTGTTTGGGGGCCCTGGGCAACCAAGCACTTGAATACACAAGGCCACTAGGACTCCAGCTAGGGCTCCAAGAAATCACCTCTTGTGACTTTCCAGGCTCTCCTGCCCCACTCGATGACCCTGCCTGCAGCTGTCCCTGGCACTACCCAGCTGCCCTGGGGGCTCTCACCAGGTCTGGGCTCTCAAGGGGAAGGTGGGGCTGGCTCTGTTACCGAGCTCTCATTCTCTGCTGGGCCAGGGAGGCCTCCTTCCTCTCCAAGCTGCTGGCCTTTCCACAGGGACGCCCTTGGCCCCTGCTCAGGGTCAGCTAGACCAGCCCGTCCTCCAGGCAGGTCAGCATCCAGGACGGAAGGATGGGTGGCGTCCTGTGGAGCGGGTGGAGGCTGCGACACCCCAGCCCGTGGGTCTCCAGGCACTGTCCCCCCCACCAGGCCTCCATCAGGAGCGGGGGCCCTCAGGTCTCATGTTCTGGAACACTCTGCTCCTTCCAGTCAACCCCTAAGGCCAAGCCAGTGACTTTCCTCCTTCTTCCTCCTCATTCCCTCCCCCAAACCTGAGGGGCATCAGCTCAGGAGGGGGTGGGCTGAGGGGCTTCAAGAAAATGAGGCTGGGGCGAAGGCCTGGGTACAGCATAGGTCCCTCCCCACCAGGGAGCTGCTGGCCCTCACTCACCTCCAGCGCTTGGCCTCCCTGCAGCCTCAGACAGGGGAAACCCAGGCTGCGGCCTCCCCCACCCCACCCGGTCAGTGCAAGCCTGGAAGCTGGGGCTGCCCCTCCCCGGACTGCTCCCCCGTACCCAGGTGCCCACTGGCTTGCTGGGGGACTCTCTGCTGCAGGGTAGGGGCAGCTGGTGCTCACCTGGGTGGGGCTGTGGAGTCTCCAGAACACCAGCTGCACCTGTGTGCAGAACGCCAGCGAGAAGCACAGGAAGCCCTGGGGGCAGAGCGGGCCGGTCACTGTGGGGGGCGGTCACTGTGGGGGGCCGGTCACTGTGGGGGGGCTGGACACTGAGGGGGGCGGTCACTGTGTGGAGGAGGCCAGTCACTAAGAAGGGGTTGGTCATTGTTGGGGGGGGGCTGGTCACAGTGGGGGGGCTGGTCACTTTTGGGGCACCAGTCACTGTTGGGGGGCCTGTCACTGCAGGGGTGGTGGTCACTGAGGGGGGACCAATCACTGTTGGGGGGCAGTCACTGAGGAGGGGCCAGTCACTGTGGGGGGCTGGTCACTGTGGGGGGGCCTGTCACTGCGGGGAGGCCTGTCACTTTGGGGGGGCCTGTCACTGTGGAGGGACCTGTCACTCTGGGGGGCCAGTCACTGCGGGGGGGGGCCTGTCACTGTGGGGGGCCGGTCACTGCAGTGGCCTGGCCAATCACTGAGGGGCCTGGTAGGGTCTGGCAGGCCTGGGCAGGGCAGTGCCCTCAGGCTGTGCCCCCAGCGGGATGCTTGGTTGAGGCATGGATCTGAGCCCCGCTCCCCACTGCCTGAGAGGGAGACTTGGCCTGGGGAGAGCATGGGTGCTGGGTCCGTGGGTTCCATAGCACCTTCCCATCCCCTTCCTGGGCGCTTTTTGGGAATTCGTCCCTTGTTCTCCCATTTTGGCCCCCAGGGACCTGTTGATGGCAGCACCGCACCCCTGCCCGGGAAGGGCAGGGCGCCCCTGAGAAGATGGAGACCTCTGCCCACTGGGGCTGCTTCCTGAGGGGCATGGACCTGGACAGGGCCGGGGAGAGCCTGCCCTGAGCCTGAGCCTCTCCAGGGCCGGTGCTGTAGGCTCTTCTGTTTTGCCTTCTTTTCTGAAACAAGCCACCAGCTAGCCCAGCGCTGGTGAGGTTTGGGACAGATATGGCGCCTGTTCAGGATGCTGTGGCCTCTCTCTTTGCAGGTGAGCCCACCTCCCTCACCTCCCTTTCTCTCCATACTCTGCCTGGGTCCCCATGGCCTGGCCAACCACTGTCCCCTCTCTCTCACTGGTGCCAGTGCCCCTAGTTGTGGAGTGGGGCGTTCTCCGGCGGAAACGTCTGCTCACCAGCCCCCGGCATTGCCCCATTGTTCTTTTGGCCGGGGCTTCCAGGCTTTTGAGAGCCCCTTTGCAGAAGCTGGGGAACACGAGAGACCCCCCCTGAGAGCAGACAGATGCCCCCGACACGGTTTTATGGAGGGCGGCAGAGGTCACCCAGGCTAAGAACCCTGGGGATGTCCTCCCACTCAGGGTCTGGGCGACCACCTTTGCCTTCGTGCTGGTGCCCTGAGCCTGGGGATGTCCCCCAACTCGGGGTCTGGGCGGCTGCCTTTGCCTTCATGCTGGTGCCCTGAGGACCCGGAGTACCTGATGGTGAGTCTAGCTGCCGACCAGGCAGCTCCCCCAGGAGTCCTGAGGCCCTGGTGAAATGCCAGCCCCCGCAGGCAGCACTGTGCCCAGCTGGGTGGTCCACAGGCTGAGGCAGGTTGGGTCTGGGCCCTTCTAACCCTGGGCCCCATTCAGGGTGACACCAGGAGCATGGGTGTCCGTGGAATAGACCCACACATGCTGGCAGGCGGGCAGCAACAATGCCGGCATGCCAGGGGAAGCTGGTCAAGAGGGGCGTGGAAAGAGCTGGGGAGCCCTGCTGGCCCCCAAACACAGGCGAGAGCATGGGGCCTCCAGCCCTGCAGGGACGGGGCGCTGGCGGCTCCCCATGACCCTCCTGCCTGCCCTGGAGGCTGCAAGGCCTGATGGGCGATGGCCTGGGAGCTGCCTCCTCCTCCTCTCTTTACTCCTCCTCCTTCCTCTTCCTCCTCCTCCTTCCACCCTCCTCCTCTTTCTTCTCTTCACCTTTCCTCTTTTCTCTTTCCTCCTCCTTCCCCCTCCTCCATCTCCTCATCCCTTGTCCTCCCTCCTCCTCCCTCTTCTTCCCTTCTCCCCCTCCCTCCTTCTTCTCCCCCTCCATCCCCCTCCTCTCCCTCCCTCTCCCTCCCCCCCTTCTCCTCTTCCCTCCTTTTCCTCCCCTTCCCTCTCCCTCTTTCTCCCTCCTTCTCCTCTTCCCTCCTCCTTCTTTGTCCTCCTCCTCCTCCTTCTTGCTGGCTGAAGGCCACCGTCCCCATCTGGAAGCTATCACTCAGTGCTGCCTCCCAGGCTTGAGGCGCTGAGCCAGCTCAGGAGACCAGCATTTTCCAGAAACCTTTTCATTCCTCAGGAGAAACAGCATCCACAGTCTCTCTCTCTTTCTCTCTCCCCCCACCAACCCCCTGTGCAGAGAGGATCTTGGGCGGTGGATGGGCCCATGCAGACCTCCTCAAGGTCTTCACCATCAGAGGCTGCTGGGTGGTCAGGTCTGCCCTGGCCATTTTCTTTCTCCTCATTCTAGATGGAAATAAATACATACATAAGCGAATTGAATGTGCTTCCTTGGGCAGCGCTGCCAGCTCTGCTCTCTCAGCCCAGCAAGCTCTTTCATTTCCTGTGCGAGAGGCCAGCTAGGGGAGAGGCCGGAGGGGTGGGGGCAGGCAGGAAAGGGCCTTGTGGGGAGCATCCAGGCACCCAGCCCATTGGAAAAAATCTTTCCACTCCCTGCTCCCTATCCCTAGCCCCTTGACCTGTGCTCGTGCATGCAGACACACACACAGATGTGCCAGATGCAACACGCAGACACCACACCCATATGGCAACAGGGGCAGGTGAAGACCGGTAACAGATACTTGCACACACGCACACACAGAGGCACCTGCACACACACTCATGCACATGCACACACACACTCATGCACACACATGCACACACGTATATTTGCACACACATGCACATAAGTTCACCTTCATGCACACACATGCATGCAGCTCAACTGGGTAGATCTCCCAGCTCCCTGCTGTGGCCATGCTGAGCTCACCATCCAGGCCGGGTCTAAGTACACTGGGGCTTGAGGGGTGCGCTGGAGCCCACCCAGCTCGGACTGGAGTGTCCTCAGGACCCCAGCCCAGTGCAGGCATCCAGCTGGGGGCCTCCCAGGCTGCTCTACAAGCCTGAACCGCATATCAAGTCACCCTGGCCTTGAGGCTGGCTGGGGACACAAAACCCGAGCCCAGGTGCTCGCTGACCGCCTTGGCCACAGATCAGGGTGCTAGGCTGGTTTGTCCATGGGGGCAAGGTGGGGTGGGAAAGGCTGGTGACCGGGACAGGAACCCCGTGGCCCAGCTGGCTTCTGTATATGTGGCCTCAGGCCCAGCACCATGGCGCCCCCTGGTGGATGGTGCTGCAGCCCCAGTGCCGGTTCTTTCTGGGCCTCCAGCTCAGACCTGGACCCCTTGGCCTGGCCCTGTTGCCAGCCTTTCCTTCCATCCAGGTGTCCCTTTGCAGGCCACACACCCTCTTGAGGGGCAGACTACTTGCCTTGTCATCTCCCCATTGGGGCCTCCCACCTGGCCCTGAAGCCAGATAGCATAGGCTGGGGTTGTCCCTGCCCACGCTCCTGTGCCCCAGAGCAGGAATCCTGGCTAGTGCTGGAGCTGCTGGGTCCTTCTCTGCTCCCCATGGGCCCACCCAGGGCTGGTTGGCCCCGCAGCAGCTCCAGGAGGTGACTCTATTCCTATCCTTGGAGACATTTATAAACCAGGGTCATTAAACAAGCATTTGCTGAACTTGAAGGCTGAGCTGAGATCCCTGCCAGCCCTGGGGACCCAGGAGGCTGTGCCCTCAGGGACTTCCAGAGTGGTCCAGCTTCACAGGCCAGACAGGAGAGCAAAGCCCCCAGCACAAGCTCCTCACGGCTGGAATGGGGAGACAGGAGGCTAGAAGGACAGGTGGGACCCCAGGGCGCCAGGGAGGAGCTGCCTTAGCTGTGGTGAGAGAGAAGGGCTGTGGGCCTGGCAGGGGCAGGACAGGCGTGGGGAGGCTGCCGCCAGGTGGGGTCTGCGATGACCTTCGAGGGCCCTCAAGGACCAAGACAGAAGCCCATGGGGAGGAGTAGGAATGGGGGCGACAAGGGGCCACTGCTATGGGGTGGGGTGGAGGGGCCTATGGGGCCTCGGGGCTGGGGAGACACCCCCAGCAGCTCAGGAGAACCCAGGCTGGAGAGCTCAAGAGGCATTTCCCTTGCCCGGCCCGGCCTCCTCCGAACAGGAAATGGGGTGCTCCCAGTGCCCTCCCAGAGCTTGCTGGGCAATCGAATCAGACCCTCCCAGGGACTTTGGAAACAGCTCCCATTGTGCGGAGCACCATCTCTCTCTTTCAGGGCTCCTATAGGAACCCTTGCTGGGCGTGTGGATGACAAGGTGAGGTAGGGCCTGGTGGAGGAGACTTGGCTACCCAGGTGGGGGGTCTCGACTGGTCAGCATCCCTGGGACCTCTGTTTCTGCCTAGTCACTCAGGTGTGGGGGTGGCGCACAGGCCTGCCAGCTCTTCACTCCTTCCTGATTCTTTTCTGGGGACATGGGCATCTGGGAACACAATGAACTCACCCCCGCCATGAGGCCCTGGGCCTCCCTCACGGTGCCCGCAGCGCTCAGCACGGCTCCCAGGGTCAGGAGGCCCACCAGGCTCAACCCCGCAGAGAAGGCTGGTTGGGAGGAGAGAGGAGGAGGGTTGGGGTGCCCAGGACAGGTCCTGAGTGCACACAGCCTGGGTCTGAAATCTAACTTCGGAGTCAGGGGCTGTGCGGGACTTCTGGGGGGCTCTGAGTGGGCGCCGTCTCTCCACCAGACAGGGCCCTGAGGGAAGGAGGAGGGAGGCGGGACTCGTTCAGCCTGGGGGACCGCCCCTCCTTCCCTCTTTTCCTCCCTGCCCTCCCTGCCTGTGGGGCTATCTTAGAAGCCACATGCTCCCCGCCATGCCCTAGTGACAAGTGGCCGGACTGGAGCTGTCATCTTATCAGTCCAGACCTGGACCTGGGCCCCAGGCGTCCTCCTCCAGGGAGGCCCTGGTCCTAAGACCTGGGGAAAAGCAGTGGGTTCTAAGGCAGCATTTTCCCCATATCTGCCCCCCGGGCTGCAGCCCTCCTGGGCCCCCTAAGCTCCTGCCTGAGAGTCCCCTGCAGGTCTGGTTCCGGCATCCCCTCATTAAAGGGGCCTTCCTCAGCCTTACCCCCAAGTGGCCCCAGCAGACCCTGGCTCTCGCTCCCGCTCTCTGAATGTTGGATAAGTCGCTGCTGAGTCTCTGCAGGGAGGCGTCTGGCTAGAGCAGCCCCACCCCTGCCCACCCATGTCCCAGGTCCTGAGTGGAACATCAGCCATGTGGAGCCCTCATGGACCTGCTGAGCCCGGCCCCAGGCCACTCCCAGGTGGCGCCTGCCTGGGATTCAGCCCTGACTGCACAGAGCCAGGTCCTGACCCTGCCCAACATATACCCACACTGTGCCCACGCTCCTGTGGGGCACAAGAGTCAGGCAGGAACACCGGCTATCACCCAGACCCGAGGCTCTGTCCAGGGGAGCTAGGACTCCAGGGCAGCCCCTCCCTGCCCCTGACCACCTCTGGCTCCTGCCCAGGGCCTGGCACCACTCCGCCAGTGAGACGTCCAGCTGGGCTCAGCTCCTACCAGCCGCCCTTGCACCCAAAGCCCCTCCCGATGCAGCCAGGCCTGGACCTCGCTTACCCCATTGGTGCACAGCCTGGTACGGGTTCTTCTCCAGGGACGCTCGGCGAATGACAGCAAAGTGGGCCCCGAAGTAGGTGAAAGTCACCATGGTGGCCACAGAGAGGCCCAGCAGCTGTGGATAGGACAGACTCAGAGTGTGGGACACGGGACTGCCGCAGGATGGGGCAGCTTGGGCCCAGGGGACAGGGCTGGGGCTCTCTCCAGCTTCCTGGTCCCGTGACAGACAGGCTCAGCTGCAGGGATTCCCAGTGTTTCTGTGGAGTGGTCTCAGGGGGCCTTCACTGCAGACGCCCAGCACACTCACAGGCACTCACACACGGTAGACGCATACACACACAGCCCAGCTTCCCCAGACACCCAGGACCTCTGATCATGCTGTCTACGGAGTGGGATGAGCCCCACCCCTGTGCCAGCACCCTCCTGGGCAGGAAGGGGGGACGATCCCTGGAGCCCGGTAACCAGTGCTCCTCCGCCCCAGCTCGCCCCAGGCCTCGGCCCCACTCAGGCCTCCTCCGGGCTCTGTGCTGCCTGCCCCTCAGGAGGAGAGACGGGGCTGCCCATGGCGGTCACTGCCTGTGACTGTCTGCCACCAGGAGCCCCAGACACATGTCTACGAGGGCAGGACAGGGACAGTAGGGCTGGTGTGTGTGTGAGAGGAGGGGTAATCCCCATGCTGAGGCCCTGCCACCCCTCACCCCTTCTCACCCCCACCCACCACCCACTCCTGCCCAACCTGCCTGTTACCAAGATAAAGAAGCAGGTGACCAGCATCTGGCATTTGGCAACCCTGACTCGACTCCAAGGCCCCATGACGGCTCCTCTCCTCTCTTCTCTTCTTCTCCCCTCCCCTCCCTTCCCCTCCCTGTGGTTTCCAGCTGGGCAGGGGCCTCAGACCGCAGCTCCCTGCCCAAGAGGTAGGTTGCATCCGCCTCTTTGTCTGTCTGTCAACATCGCCCTAGGACCGAGCTGCTGGGTGCCCCGGAAGAAGGGCAGGCAGGAAGGGGAGGGGCAGTGAGATTGGCTCCCCCCTCAACCTCACCCTGGTATCCCCAGCCCAGCCCAAGACACCAGGGCGTTTGCCGACATCTGAGGCCCTTCTTGGTGTGGCCACCGAGGACAGTGCTGAGAGGGGGAAGGTCATGGGCAGAGCTGGGTGTGGGATGCAGAGGAAACAGTGCCTGGGGAAGAGGAGGTGAGCTGCCCGTCCTGGGAGTGTGCAAGTGTGGACTGGGCCTTGGGGGCGTAATCCTTGCAGGAATTTGGAGATGGGGTCTCCTTGGAACATCGTTACTGAGGTGTTCTTAGGAAACACCCTTTGAAATGTCCTGTGACAGCTTACGTTTTGAGAAGGTCGTTGGTTTTTAACCCTTCATGGGCGGCACTAATGGGTATTTTGTTGCAGAGCCTTCTTGGTGCCACAGGGGTAGGCTGGGGCCTCACTCACACCCACATGGGGCCTCCAGGGGGAGGCTTTGTAAACCTCGAATTTGTAATTACACAAAGCCGTGTCATTACCCGTGGGTGGGCGCAGCGCTGCCGCCCCAATACAGGCAGGGTTTCCGTGGGCCTCTGGGGCAGGGTAGGCCGGAAGAGTGTGAAGATGCTCCCGGTGAGTCCGCCGTTCAGGGGCCACTCCCGGCCCTCCCAGGGGTGCTCTGCTCGCCCCTCGGTGCTGGAATTGCTCCTCCTACATTTGGTCGGCACCTCAGCGACGGGGAGGGGACCCCCAGACCTGCAGGCATGGCAACCCCAGCGTGGCTGTGGGAAGAGGGCCCAGCTGCTGCCCACTCAGGAGTGCTGCTGGAGGAACTGCTCAGGCCACCTCCTCCCTCCCTCGGCGGAGAAGCAGGGACAACCAGGACCCCTGTCCAGCCCAGCAACCCCCGGCAGCACCTTCTGCAACTCGGGCCCCCAGGAATTCCCACCCTGAGTCTGTGGGGGCTTGTGGAGACCTCAGATGCCTGGTACCCACAGTGTCACTTCAGCTGGAGGCCTAGGTGTGGCTCAGGCTGGGGCGCAGGTATGGATCTAGGGGTGGCAGCAAGAGTGAAGGTACCAGGTCTAGGGCCTGGAGGCCCCCGGGCTGTGCAAGTGGCCAGCTTGTCCTCTCCAGGGAAGATGAGCTGCTCTTGGCTATGTCCGGCTCATCCCTGGAATTCTTTCTCCAACCTTGACCTCCCTGGAGCTGGTGAGGCAGGCTTGGAACACCACCCGCTTATGGGGTGCCTCTTCGCCAGGTCTCAAGAATTTTGGAGCAGGGCAGGCCTGGGTTCTTGACCTGTCCTGGTGGGCACCTTCTCACACCAGTGCTGTGCCCAGGTGGCCTCACTTGTCATCTCAAAGTGGCGTCAAACTCCCGGACAGGTGGACGGGAACCCTAGGCTGGCCCTCCAGAGACCAGGTCTGACCACAGCCCCCCTCCCTGTGCCCCACCAGCAGGGGCAGGGAGCCAGGGGAACCCCCACTCCTTTTGCTGGGCCGCACCCTCCCACCCAGACACCCCCTCTGCAAGAGGAAGTGGCTTGTTGAGGGGAAGCCACTGTGAGGCTGTTGCCCACCCCACACACCCCTGCCCACCCCACACACCCCTGTCCACCCCACACACCCTGCCCATCCCACACATCCCTGTCCACCCCACACACCCCTGCCCACCCCACACATCCCTGTCCACCCCACACACCCTTGCCCACCCCACAAACCCCTGCCCACCTCACACATCCCTGCCCACCCCACACACCCCTGCCCACCCCACACATCCCTGTCCACCCCACACACCCCTGCCCACCCCACAAACCCCTGCCCACCTCACACATCCCTGCCCACCCCACACACCTCTGTCCACGCCACACATCCCTGCCCACTCCACACACCCCTGTCCACCCCACATAGCCCTGCAAACCCCACACACCCCTGCCCACCCCACACACCCCTGCCCACCCCACACACCCCTGCCCACCCCACACACCCCTGCCCACCCCACACATCCCTGTCCACCCCACACACCCCTGCCCACCCACACACCCCTGCCCACCCCACACATCCCTGCCCACCCCACACACCCCTGCCCACCCCAAACACCCCTGCCCACCCCACACATCCCTGTCCACCCCACACATCCCTGTCCACCCCCCACACCCCTGCCCACCTCACACACCCCTGCCCACCCCACACATCCCTGCCCACCCCACACACCCCTGCCCACCCCACACACCTCTGTCCACCCAACATGCCCCTGCCTACCCCACACAGCCCTGCCCATCCTCACACACCCATGCCCACCCTACACACCCCTGCCAACCCCACATGCCCCTGCCCACCCCACACAGCCCTGCCCACCTACTCTGGAGGTGGTGCCAGCCCCTGGGAGCCTGGAAGGCTCCTAGAGCGCGGGTTCAGCCCCAAGGAGCTGGCCCAGGAGGACAGCTGCCCCCACCCCTACCCCACCAAGGAGCCTGTCCTAAGGGCTGGGCCCCACTGCAAGCTGGCCTAGGGTCCCCTGGCTTTATTTCCAGGGAAGAGATCGGGCGTGGACGCGTGTGCGGGTGTGGACGCGTGTGCGGGTGTGGGCGCGTGTGCGGGTGTGGGCGCGTGTGCGGGTGTGGGCGCGTGTGCGGGTGTGGGCGCGTGTGCGGGTGTGGGCGCGTGTGCGGGTGTGGGCGCGTGTGCGGGTGTGGGCGCGTGTGCGGGTGTGGATGTGTGTGCGGGTGTGGATGTGTGTGCGGGTGTGGAGGTGTGTGCGGGTGTGGATGTGTATGCGGGTGTGGATGTGTATGCATGCATATGTGACAGTGTTTACCCGCCAGAGACTTCCTTTTTCCTCTCTCCTTCCTGTGAATTCCTGGGTCCCAGGTGCGCCTGCTCGCTCCACAACGTCCTTACCCACCAGGAGGCCCCTGGCTCAGGGATGCCACCTGCAGCTGCCCAGCCCTCCGCCCATGACGCCCTTGTTCCACCTGCCACCGCTCATGAAACTATGGATCACCCAGCTCTGCACTGGCTTGCCTGTTGCTGCTGTCGCAGTTTACCTGGGCAGTTGCCCCTGGTTATCCGGCTGGGGTGGGACTTGGACTTAGAAGCAGGCCTGGGAGGACTGGGAGGCTGCGTCCTCGGGCCAGGAGGTGGCAGCCTCTACCTTCCTGAGACAGGGACCCTTTCTCGTCCATCACAGGTGAGCAGCCGGGCTCTGGGGCCTGGAGCCTGGGGGCCCCTGTGCTGTCTGTGAGTGCGGCCCCTTCCATCGGGGAGGCACTCAAGAGCTTCCCACCTGTGTCACAGGGAGTGGGGCCTGGAGCTTGAAGAGACCTGTGGGGGCCACGTGGGTGCCTGAATCTGGCTCCTCTCTGTCCTTTGACTTGATTCTGAAATTGTCCCTGCAGCACAGATGCACCCCGGGAGCTGCCTTTACAGCCTCTCCTGAACCCAGGGAGGAGGAGGGCAGCTCCCCTTCTGGATCACCCTAGGCCTGGGTCAGCTGGGCGGGTCCCAGGGGACCTCTGAACCCCCACTGCCTGGGCAGCCCCCTTCCCCTGGAGGGACTCTGGCCTGTCCCTTGAGAGCCAAGATCATACTCAAACCGGGTTCTGGGCTCTGGGCACTGCTCTGCTCCCAACCAAAGGAGGTTCTGGGGCGTGGCAGCCAGAGTGATCTCTGCTTAGGGCGGTTTCTGGTGAGTTCTGATGTCTCAAACCCCAGCATCAGGGCCAGGGCAGACAAAAGAAGAGTGAGCTGGTCAGGGATGCCCCAGTGGGGAGCTCGTTCACAACCTTTAAGGAGGGCAGGGCACAGCTCAGCAAGGGTGGCCATGAGGCCCTGGGCTTGTGGCTGAGATGGCAACTGGCTCTGGCAGTGATTGGAACAGTCCAGTCCATGGCCTTCCCTCTCAGTGCCATGGGCTGCTGCCTCCACTGGCCAACTCCAGTGGGCATTGATGGGCACTCTGCTTCCCCCACCGCCCCTGGGAGCCTAGACTCTGCCTTCAGTGACGGCAGAGGGAACCCAGGGATGGTGCCCCTTCAAAGACACAGCTGTCTCCCAGGGGAGTCTAAAGGGATCCCACACAGGTGTCACAGATGCCAGGGGCAGACTGTAGGGGAGGTGTCTCCATCCACATCCACACTGTGCCACCCACTAGTTTGTGGGGCCGGGCACCACCAAGCCTGCTGTCCTGCCTGGGCCACTCCAGCCTGGGCTGAGACTTGGCACCCCGTGGGAGTGGAGGAGTGGGGCAGAGGCAGGAGATGCCCAGGGTAAGAGCCAGATGCCTTTAGAGTGACCCCCTGGGCCTGGGCAGGACTGGGGGCAGGGGAAGACCCGCTGGCAGAAAAATGCACATCGGACCCTCCTCCTAATGGTCCCCACACTCCCTGTGCAGACAAGGCAGACTGCAGGGCAGAAGCTTGCAACCCCATTCCTGGTGGTCAGTGTGCTTTATTTAGCCCTTGATGAAGAGACTGTTTCATGACAAACGGGGGCAGTGAGCTCCCGACACCTTTAAAGCTGCAGTGTTGCCTCTCTCAGGAACCTAGAAGTGAACGACCATCCCCATTCAGGCCAGACCCTGATGCTCAAGGGTCAGGGCCCAGGCCTGTTGCCAGGCTGCCCTCTCTCTTGGACAGGTGCAGGGACCCTTGGGAGGGGCACAAGGTTGCAGAGGATCTTTAAGCAGAGTGAGGAATATGGTGAGAGAAAGCCTTAGGAGGAGGGTTCAGTGTCAGCGTTCACTATGGACAGAATCGTTTTCCTGCATAATTCATAGGTTGAAGCCTTGCCCCCCAATGAGATAGTGTTAGGAAGTGGATCTCTGGGAGGTAATTAGGGACAGATGAGGACATGAAGGTCCCTGGTCCCATAGAATTAGTGCCCTTATACGAAGAGTCATTTAGGAGCTCCCTCTTCTCTCTTTCTCTCTCCTTACATGCACTGAAGGATAGCTGTATGAAGACACAGAGAGAAGGCGGCCGTCTGCAAGCCAGGAAGAGAGCCCTCACAAAGACTGGAATCAGCAGCACCTTGATGTTGGACTTTCAGTCTCCAGAACTGCAAGAAATAAGCACCTGCTGTTTACATGCCCAGCCCTTGGTGCTTCCTTATGGCAGTTGGAGCTAACTGAGACAGCTCCCAGCACTCACCCATTCATTCATTCATTCATTCATTCGTTCATTTACCTCATGTCTACTGAACAGCTCTGGGATGGCTCTGGGAAGCTGTGAGTCACATATATTGCCCCAGCAATGTGTGAAATATGTTTAGAGACAGTGGGGAGCAGAGAGGGTAGACGCCCTGAGAACCCCAGCAGGGCTGGCCAGAAACACAGGCCTTGTTGGGCTGAGGCTGGCATGGGGTGAACTTGGGAGCCTTGGGGGCAGAGGTGATAGATGTGGGGTGTTTAAAGGCAGTGAGACCAAGAAGGGAGATGGATGGTGCCCCCCCATGCCAGGCTTTGCCAGCCTCCCAACACATGAGTGTTCACCCGCCTGGATGAGACACCGCCGTGGACTTGGGAGTGAAGATGGTGAATTTGGGCAATGCTGGAGACCATGCAGGTGGGAGGTGGGACAGGGGCAAGAGGCCGGGGCCCAGGCAGGAGCCGACAGCCTGCCAGTGCTCCCCTGAGAAGCAACCTCAGTGGGTGGCTTGGGGTCTGCTGGGCTGCCCCCACACTGACACCCTGGCTGCAGGGCCCCCTGTGTCCCCAGTGATGGCTCTCGGGATGGCTGTGTGGCCTACTCAGAGCCATCCCTGCAGCCCATGATCTCTGGGTCACCAGTTGCCAGAAGTGTCCCCCCTGCCTTGGGCAGAGGCTGAGCACCCCAGAGTGGGAGGGAAGGTGCAGTGGGGGCTCAGCCAACACTGCTCAGCCTTAGAGTCCATCACATGTGGACTGCACCCCGGCGTCAGCCAGAGTGATCTCTGCTTAGGGTGGTTTCCAGTGAGTTCTGATATCTCAAACACCAGCATCAGGGCCAGGGCAGACAAAAGAAGAGTGAGCTGGTCAGGGGTGCCCCAGTGGGGAGCTCATTCACAACCTTTAAGGAGGGCAGGGCACAGCCCAGCAGGGGTGGCCACGAGGCCCTGGGCTTGTGGCTGAGATGGCAACTGGCTCTGGCAGTGATTGGAACAGTCCAGTCCACGGAACCCTGTGGCCTTGGCCGGAGGCTCATGGTGCCACAGGAACTGGAGCAATGGGTGGCCTCCCTCACCTGGTGCCCAAGTAAAGGAGGACTGGGTGCCCCTGAGGAAGGACGTTGCCATACTCTCACAAATTTACATTATTCTTCTCTCCCCCAGTCTCCCCTCAGGGACCTGCAGCCATTTGCTGGGGTGGCTAGTCTGTCCTCAGACTCAGGGGACTTACTGGACACTAACTCTACCCTGACACCCACTCCTGGGGACACAAACACCCGTCAGATCTAATAGTCAGAGGAGGGGCGTGTGGAGGCCAGGGTACTCATGGAGCTCTAGCTCAGGTCCAACTCTCGGTGGGTGCAGAGGTCACTTCCCTAGCCTCAGACAGGTGAGTAAATGGACTTATGTGGCAGCCAGCAGAGTCCCCACATGTGTCCCCTGACCTGAGGGGTGGGGGCTGCTATGGTGGGAAAGGCCAAGTAGAAGCCATGGGGTGAACTCTGCCTAGGAAAATCGTCAGTCAAAAGCAACCTGCGGCCCTGGAAGGACCACAAAGGTCAGTGCTGCCATTGAGGACTTGGAAGATGCAGGGTGACGACCACTATGGCAGCCTCGTTCCACTCATTAAATTGGCTTGTGTGGAAGACAGGGGGGTCCTGGAGAAGGAAGGACAGTGAATTCTGGTAAACTTAACCAGGACTCCAATTGCAACTGCTGTTCCAGATATGACTACTGATCACCGGGGCAAATCAAAGCATCCCTGGACACCTGGTCTACAACCATTGATCTGGTGAAAGCTTTGATTTTTAATATAGATCTTATTTTTTAGAGCAGTTTCATGTTTACAGAGAAATTGAGCATATTTGAGAGTTCTCATATAGCACCTCTCCCCACACACAGTTTCCCTTATTATTAATATCTGGAATTAGTGTGATACATCTTTGCAACTGATGAACCAATGTTGACCTAGTCATTGATCAGGTTATATGAGGGTTCACTCTTGGTGTGTACATTCTATGAGTTTGGGCAAATGTGTAATGGCATGTCTCCACTATTACAGTATCATACAGAATTATTTTACTGCCCTAAAATCTGTCTGTGCTCCATTTATTCTTCCCTCCCTCTCCACTGACTCCTGGAAACCACTGATCTTTTCATTGTCTGCATAGTTTTACTTTTTCCAAAACGTCACATAGTGGGAAATTATACAACCTGAAAAGATAGGTAGACTTCTTCAGATTGGCTTCTTTCACTTGGCAATATGCATTTAAGGTTCCTTCACATCTTTCCATGCCATGATAGTTCATTTTTCTTTATCACTGAATAATATTCCATTCCTTGCGTGTACTAGAATTTGTTTATCCATTCACGTATTGAAGAACTTCCTGGTTGCTTCCAAGTTTTGACAATTATAAATAAAGCTGTACAAACATTAATGTCAAGGTCCTTGGGTAGACGTACGTTTTCAGCTTATTTGGGTAAACACCTAGGGCATGATTGCTGGATCATATGGTAAGACTATATTTGGTTTTGTAAGAAACCACCAAACTATTTTCCAAAGTGGCTGTCCCATGTTGCATTTCCACCAACAATGACAGAGTTCCTGTTGCTCCATGCTCTTGCCACCATTTGGTGATGTCAATGAGTTCCTGTTGCTCCATTCTCTTGCTACCATTTAGTGGTGTCAGTGTTTTGGATTTTGGTTATTCTTATAGGCATCTCATTGTTGTTTTAATTTGCAATTCTCTAATGACATGTGATACGAAACCTCTTTTCATGGGCTCATTTGCCATCTGTGCATCTTCTTTGGTGAGGAGTCTGTTCATAATTTTTCCTATTTTTACATTCAGTTGTTTGTTTTTTCATTGTTGAGTTTTAGGAGTTCTTTGACTATTTTGGAGGCAAGTCCTTTATTAGATATGTGTTTTGCAAAGATTTTCTCCCACTCTGTGGCTTGTCTTTTCATTCTTTTAATGGTGTCTTTTGCAAAGTAGAAGTCTTTACATGTTAATGAAGTCCAGCTTA